TTACAGGATGCTCCGGTGTGACAGGTAAATCAGAACCGTTTTACTTGGCACCAGCATTGTGGCGTAGTGGGGATTAAGCTACCACTTGTGATGCCAGCATCCTGTGTGGGTTCCTGTGTGAGTCCCATCCGATCCACTCTGATCCAGCTCCCTGCTAGTGTGCCTGGAAAAGCAGCAGATAGGCCATGTACTCAGATCCCTGCCACCCATGTGGGAGACCTGGATGAAGCTCTGGCTTTGTTCTGGCCCAGCCCTGTCCGTTGCAGCCATCTGGGGAGTGAACCAACAAATGAAAGATCTCTCTCTCTCTCTCCCTCCCTCTTGATGTAACTCTGCCTTTCAAATAAAATAAATATATATATTTTTAAAGTGTACAAAACACTTTCCCTACCTTCTAGTTACACATTCTTCTACGTGTTGTCTAACCTTAGTGCTTGCTGCCTTTATGTGGTTACTTAAGAGTCTTCACGTGTATAGGATATAGTCTGTGTGTACCTTATCTGCCTGGGAAACATCTTTAAGACTAGACTCTAGGCTCTTTAGATAAAGCTATGTGCTCTTTCTGTTTTTAAAGATTTTATTTGAAAGGCAGAAATACACAGAGAAGTAGAGAGAGAGAGAGGTATCTTTCATCCTCTGGTTCACTCCCTATATGACCCTAATGGGAAGCCAGGAGCTGGGAGCCTATTCCAGGTCTCCCACGTGGGTGGCAGGTACCCAAAGACCTGGCCTATCTTCTGCTGCCTTCCCAAGCACATCAGCAGGGGGCTGTATCAGAAGTAGAGCAACTGGGACTTCAACTGGCACGTGTTTGGAATACTAGCACTTCAGGCAGTGGCTTAACCTTCTATGCCATGGCCCTTAGATTGTTTTATAATTCTTTGTCCAGCTCCTTGAGGGTGGCCTTGTTTTTCTTTGTTCCCCCATCTACCTATTTGGGCCTGAAACATGTTGTATGCTTGTTAAGTAAGCACTAAACATTTCTTCTGTTTTCAAATGTCAGCACCTTGGTTTACTCCAAACCTTTCATTTACAGCTGACACTTGTCCAATATATGACTGTGACATACAGTGTTTCGATATCCAGTAGTGACCCAAATCCAGTTCTCTGATTCTTGTTTCAGCACTGCCCTAATTTACTACTATGTCTATCTATGTTACTTTACTTTTATGATCTATTAGAGATAATCCTCAGTGAGGGAACAATTTTTAATTTTTAATTGTTAGAAGGGAGTAGAATATGTAGGATCATTTGGGGACTTGAGGCTATTAAAACAGTATCTGAGATCCATGGATAAGACTTCAGGAGGGATTTGCAAACTTCTTGAAACTGCATGTGTGGATTCAGGTAATTTGTCTGTCTGTCTGTCTTTCTTTCTTTCTTTTTTTGTTTGTTTTTATTTGACAGGTAGAGTTATAGACAGTGAGAGAGAGACAGAGAGAAAGGTCTTCCTTCCATTGGTTCACTCCCCTAATGGCTGCTATGGCCTGCACTGTGCCGATCCGAAGCCAGGAGCCTGGGTGCTTCCTCCCAGTCTCCCATGCGGGTGCAGGGACCTAAGCACTTGGGCCATTCTCCACTGCCCTCCCGGACCACAGCAGAGAGCTGGACTGGAAGAGGAGCAACTGGGACTAGTACCCGGTGCCCCAACCGGGACTAGAACCTGGGTGCCGGCGCTGCAGGTGGAGGATTAGCCAAGTGAGCCACAGCTGGCAGTTTTTCGGTTTTTAAAAAATATTTATTTATTTGAAATAGTTAGAGAGTGAGTGAGATCTTCATCCTCTGGTTCACTTCCCATATGGCCGCAATGGGAAGCCAGGGCGTTAACCTGCTGCACTGCAGTGCTGGCCCTGAGACAGGAGTTTCATCTGGGTCTCCTACATGGGGCCCAAGCACTTAAGTCATCTTCCACTGCTTTTCCGAGGCTATTAGTAGGGAGCTGGATTGAAAATGGACCAGCCGGGACAGGAACTGGTGCCCATATGGGATGCTGGGGTTGTAGGTGGCGGCTTAACCCATCAGTAACTTTTATTTAATGTGATACAGGAGTACTAATGGGTCAAGAAATTGTTTTTCAACAGTGAAATACTGGCTTTTAAAAATCATAGATGACTTTAGACACCTTTAAAATAAAACCTGTGTATGAAATGTCCACATACATAAAATTTTGCTAAATTTAGCGTGAGATTTCCAAGGGTTTACAAGCTGCCCCCCAAAAAGGACTGCTGGGCTTAATGATCCTCCAGAAAAGGAGTGCTGATCAAGAAGCCTACTTAAAATTAAAAGCTTTTATCTGGATTTCTGGCATCTTTTTCCAATGTAATAATGTGATAGGTTCCTGTGTAGTTTTTTAAAATATAGTCTTCTGATTCCTTTCAAATTCTAGTATGTTCGATTTAATATGCCTTTGTTCTATAAGTTTTATTTGGTATACGACACTGATCATTTATAATCTTATTTAAAACTACTTTCATTTCTCTGAGAAAATCTCATACTGCATCCTTTTGTGTCTTCTTTATTTGAACAGTTTTATACTCTGAAAGTTTTCAATTCCGCTTTTCAGTTTACTTTGTAGTGCTTCCAGGAATTCTTTTGGTGGATTGAGGTAAGGGTGTATGACTTCCAGAGTGTGTGGCACTCTGTTCCTAGTAAAGGAGCAGTTATGTGGGGGTAATGGTGGAAAATTGCAGTTGCTCCTTGATGGTGAGAACTGCTTCTGCTCTGAGTTGTATTTTAGCAAGTGAAGCTACAAAACATAGACTCAAATTTTGAATCAAAACAATTTAAAAAAAAGTCCATCACTGTAGCTTAATTATCATTGTCAAGGTGAGATAATTATATCAGATAATATTTTAGTGTTCAATACCTAGCTTTGTTCTATATGTAGTGTACAGAAAACTTTTATATCCTTGCAATGTTGAGTATTTTCCCTAAGTGATATGATGGAGCAACAAATAAGAACTTAGGAAATCAGAAAAGAGTAATCTTCTGTTAATTATGTGAGAAAAAGGACTTTAAGATAATCCCAAATTGGTAGTGAGCTTCTACTTACAAGATAGTGTACCTGAACTTATTTGTTTATACTTTGGGCCCCTAAGTGAATCTTAAATTATGTAGTGAAATATGAATTTTCTTTCATGAATCAAGTGTTTGTCCATATTCTTTATATAAAGATACTGCTGAAGAACACAGTGAAATAGGAAGTATGTTGTGTACTTACTTGGAAAACTCATGATTTTTGTTCAGTCTTATCTGTGGCCCTTAACATGCCTGTCATTCTATCATACTTTGAGGTGCTCTGTTTTAGAAAGAGAGTTTAAGAATAAAATAGCTCAGGGCCAGCGCTGTCACGCAGTGGGTTAACGCCCTGGACTGAAATGCTGACATCCCATATGGGCGCTGGTTCGAGACCTGGCTGTTCCACTTCTGATACAGCTCTCTACTATGGCCTGGGAAAGCAGTAGAAGGTGGCTCAAGTCCTTGGGCCCCTGCACCCACGTGGGAGACCCAGAAGAAGCTCTGGCTCCTGGCTTCAGATCGGCACAGCTCCATCCGTTGCGGCAAACTGGGGAGTGAACCATCGGATGGAAGACATCTCTCTCTCTGCCTCTCCTCTCTCTGTGTAACTGATTTTCAAATAAATAAATAAATAAACTTTTTTTTTTTTAAAAAAAAAGAATAAAAAAGCTCATCTTGACTGAGCTACTCCTGTGTGTTAAGCATGTCCTCCATGGATTATCTGACAGGTAGTTAAAACCTGAGAAAACTTGAGGCTGAGCTTTTTCCAGTTTAGACTATAGTTGAGTAATAGATCCAGGTAGGAACCTGGGACTTAACTTTAGAAGCTGTATTTTTTTTTTTTAAGATTATTTATTTATTTGAAAGAGTTACAGAGAGGCAGAGGCAGAGGCAGAGGCAGAGAGAGAGTCTTCCATCCACTGGTTCACTCTCCAGATGGCTACATCAGCTGGAGCTGCGCCAATCTGAAGCCAAGAGCCAAGAGCTTCTTCTGGGTCTCCCATGCAGGTGCAGGGGCCCAAGGACTTTGGCCATCTTCTGCTGCTTTCCCAGGCCATAGCACAGAAAGTGGAGCAGCTGGGACTTGAACTAGCACTTATATGGAATGCGCAGCCAGGACTTGAACTGGTGCCCACATGGGATGCTGGCACTGCAGTCAGCAGCTTTACTGTGCTATACCACAGCACCAGTCCCTGTGATAAAGGCATCTTTACTGGTGTCTTTAATTTCTAGGTTGAACACCTGCCCCTTACCATGGTTATAATTTGCAGTTATGTTCTTGTTTTTATTCTTGTTATATATATATATATATATATATTATATAACATATATATGTTTTATATATATATATAAAACAACTTGCCATTTTAGCAATTTTCAAGTATTTGTACTTTAAAATGTCATTGATTCTATTTACAATCTTGTGCAACTACCATCACTATTTATTTCCAAACCCTTTCATACCCCAAACAGAAACTCTGTACCCATGAAGCAATAACTTCCTATCCTCTCCTCCTCCTAGCCCTGGTGATCTCTACTTTTTTGTATCTGTGAATTTGCCTATCCTGGGAACCTCTATAAGTAGAATTATGTAAAATTGGTCTTTTCTGTGTCTGACTTCGTTTCACATATTTTCAAGGTTCATCCATGTTGTAGCATGTACCAGAACCACATTCCCTTTTATTGCAGCATAATATTCCACAGTCTAGATGTAGACATTTTGTTTATCCATTTGTTTATTGATGGACTTTTGGTTGTTTTGCTTTTTGGCTGTCTGAAAAAGTGCTGCAGTGAGCATTGATGTACAAGAATCTGTTTGAGTACTTTTTTTTTTAAACACATGTACTATCTTCTAATGCTATAGGCCTTTTTTTTTTTTTTTTTTTTAAAGATTCATTCATTTATTTGAAAGTCAGAGTTACACAGAGGAGAGGCAGAGAGAGAGGGGTGGGGGGGAGGTCCTCCATCTGCTGGTTCACTCCCCAGTTGGCCGTACCAGCTCGAGCTGCGCCGATCTGAAGCCAGGAACCAGGAGCCTCCTCCAGGTCTCCCATGTGGGTACAGGGGCCCAAGCACTTGGGCCATCCTCCACTGCTCTCCCAGGCCACAGTAGAGAGCTGGATTGGAAGTGGAGCAGCCAGGACCTGAACCGACGCCCACACAGGATGCCGCCACAGCGCCAGCCCCTTGAGTACTTGTTTTCAAATCTGTTAAGTATAGACCTAGATGTGGAATTGCTAGATAATATAACTTTTTTAATTTTTTCTTTATTTTACTTGAAAGGCAGAATTATAGAGAAGGGAGGAGAGACAGAGAGAGAGAGAGGGCGAGAGACAGACATCTCTTCCATCTTCTGGTTCATTCCTCGAAGGTCACTATGGCCAGGACTGGGCCAGGCCGAAGCCAGGATCCTGGAGCTTCTTCTGGGTCTCCCACATAGGTTCAGGGACCTAAGCGCTTGGGCCATCTTCTGCTGTTTTCCCAGGCACATCAGCAGGGAGCTGGATTGGAAGTAGAACAGTTGGATCTCGAACTGGTGCCCATATGGGATGCCAGTGTTGTAGGTGGAAGCTTAACTGTTACGCCTCAGCACAAGTTTCCATTTTGCATTCTTACCATCAGTTTATGTTTCTGATTTCTCTGCATTCTCACTTACAGTTTTTTTTTTTTTTAAACATTATTACAGTAATACTAGTAAGTGTGAAATGGTATCTTTGGCTTAAATTTGCATTTTGCTTATGGCTATGGATGTTGAACTACGTAACTTTACCCAAGCTGTTTTGTGTGCTTGACCCCTTCTTTCTCTGCTTGCTCATGTGGCATACTGCTGCTCATTCTTTAAGTCTATTCATGTACTGTGTTCTTCATGCCCTTAGGCAAAATCCTCCTCCTGTGTTCCCTTTATGTGTGAACATGTTTTTCTTTTTCTTTTTTTAAGATTTATTTATTTATTTGAAATGCTGATTTACGGAAAGGGAGAGGCAGAGGCACACACACACACACACACACACAGATCTTCCTTCTGATGTTTCAGTCTCCAGATGGCTGCAGTGGTCAGGGCTGGACCAGGCTGAAGCTAGGAGCCGGGAGCATCCTGCAGGTCTCCCTCGTGGGTACAGGGGCCCAAGCACTTGGGCCGTCTCCTGCTGCTTTCCCAGTCACATTAGCCTGGAACTGGGTTGGAAGTGGAGCAGCTGGGACACACACTGGCACCCGTATGGGATGCCAGTGCTGCAGGCTGTGGCTTTACCTGCTATGCCAAAGAGCCGGCCTCCATGCTTTTCTTATGTTTTTTAGACTGGCTCCATGGTAGCCTCAAGGAAGATTTTGAGATCCCGAGTTTTAAAAAAGAAAAGGTAAGTTGTTAGACACAATTGTACAATTAGCAGTAAAAATGGACAGCAAGAAAGGAGGCAGGAAACTGTGACAAACTCTATAATCCTATTCATTAGAAGGTTTGTGGTTATTCTGGTGGTGTCTTCATTCATTACTGAAATAAACTAACAATCTTAGGAGATTATTTGATGCTTGGAGAGGATCCACTCACATATCTGAGGCTTGGGGGATTTTTTTTTTTTTTTTTTTTGACAGGCAGAGTGGACAGTGAGAGAGAGAGACAGAGAGAAAGGTCTTCCTTTTGCCGTTGGTTCACCCTCCAATGGCCACCGCGGCCGGAGCGCTGCGGCCGGCGCACCGCGCTGGTCCGATGGCAGGAGCCAGGAGCCAGGTGCTTTTCCTGGTCTCCCATGGGGTGCAGGGCCCAAGCACCTGGGCCATCCTCCACTGCACTCCCTGGCCACAGCAGAGGGCTGGCCTGGAAGAGGGGCAACCGGGACAGAATCCGGCGCCCCGACCGGGACTAGAACCCGGTGTGCCGGCGCCGCTAGGCGGAGGATTAGCCTAGTGAGCCGCGGCGCCTGCCGGGGGATTTTTTTATTTTTTATTTTTATTTTTTGACAGGAAGAGTGGACAGTGAGAGAGAGAGACAGAGAGAAAGGTCTTCCTTTGCCGTTGGTTCACCCTCCAATGGCCGCTGCGGCCGGCGCGCCGCGCTGATCTGATGGCAGGAGCCAGGTACTTATCCTATTCTCCCATGGGGTGCAGGGCCCAAGGACTTGGGCCATCCTCTACTGGACTCCCTGGCCACAGCAGAGAGCTGGCCTGGAAGAGGGGCAACCGGGACAGAATCCGGTGCCCCGACCGGGACTAGAACCCGGTGTGCGGGCGCCGCAAGGCGGAGGATTAGCCTAGTGAGCTGTGGCGCCGGCCTGGGATGAATATCTTAACAATTAAGATGCTGGCATTAACTGGCAGTCGCTGTGGCATAGCGAGTAAAGCCACCTCCTGCAGTACTGGAATCTCATATGGGCGCTGGTTTAAGTCCTGGCTGCTCCACTTCTGATTCAGCTTTCTGCTAGCCTGGGAAAGCAGTAGAAGCACCTGCATGGGAGACCCGGAAGAAGCTCCTGGTTCCTGGCTTCGAATTGGCCCAGCTCCGGCTGTTGCTGCCATCTGGGGAGTGAACCAGCAGATGGAAGACACCTCTTTCTCTCACTTTCTCTCTTTCTCTGCCTCTTTGTAACTCTACTTTTCAGATAAATAAATAAAACTTAAAAAAATATGCTGGTGTTTGGCACACTGGTTAAGATGCTGCTTGGAATGCCTGTATCTCATATCAGAGTACCTCTGAGTGCTGGCTCCAGATCCTGATTCCAGCTTCCTGCTTCCTGCTAATGTGTACTCTGGAAGCCAAGCAAGTGGTTGGGTCTCTGCCACACACATGGGATACTTGGATTGAGTTCCCAGCTCTGGGTTTCAGCATGGCTCAGCCCCAGCCATTATGGGCATTTGGCAAATGATGAGGCAGGTGTGAGCACATTCGTATCCATTCTCATACCCCCCCCCCCATATTAAAAAAAAACAGAGAAAATGGTAATTTACTTTCCCAACATGAGAAAAGCAGATTGTTTGGCTAAAATAAACTGAGAATAATGAAGAATTCTTAAGGCTACAACACACTATTTTTAAAAAAACTTAATGCCAACTAGTGGAGTAGATACTGCATAATACCAGGTTGGCTTGAGAAAAACCTCTCAAAACTCCAGAGAAAAATGTAAAAAATAGGTATTAGGAGATATTACTTAGAACGCATGTAGATGGCAAATCCATGTGATGGCAAATCCATGTGATGGCAGTTCCTGCAAGAAAACTAAAGAGTGAAGTGAGGCAGTAGCCAGTGAAATAGGAGAGGATATCTCTGAGCTGTAAAGACCTTGGATCTCAAGAGCAAAGGAAACCACAAAATCTTAAACAAAAATATATATATATTTTTAAAAAGCATAAAAAACCTATGTGCATCCCCATAAATTTTCTGGGTATTTTGGTTAAAAAAACCCTGCAAAGTAGAAAAGTAAGCTCCTTTAGAGAGGAACAAAGCAGATTAGCATCAGACATTGAAAACAGAAAAAGGCCAACCAAGTGCAGAGGGAAGAGCAACAGGTATAGAAACTAAGTTTGGGCAGGAACACCAAGTAAAATGTAGAGTTAACTCTAGGTAATTGATTATAGTTGTAAGCCTTACTGAAAATATTAAGAAATTTTTTTAAAGACTTATTTTATTTATTTGAAAGGCATAGTTAGAGAGAGATCTTCCGTCCACTGGTTCACTCTCTAAATGGCCACAACGTCTCGGGGCTGGGGAAGCCAGGAGCTTCTTCTGTATCTACTATATAGGTGCAGGGGCCCAATGATTTGTGCCATCCTCCAGTGCCTTCCCAGGCATGTTAGCAGGGAGCTAGATTAGAACTGGAGCAGCTGGAACTTGAACTGGAACCTATATGGGATGCCGGTGCCGCAGGTGGTTTAATTGGCTAAGTCACGATGCCAGCCCCAAGGAAAACTTTTTAATTAGTTGAGAAATTGGAAAAGAAAAAGTTAATCCAAAGTTCTTGATTTAAAAAAAAATATTTATTTATTTGAAAGGCAGATTTAATGGAGAGGCAGAGAGAGAGAGAGACTCTTCCATTTGCTGGTTCACTCCCCAGATGGCTGCAACAGCTGGAGCTGCACCAGTCCAAAGCCAGGAGCCAGGAGTTTCTCCTGGGTCTCCCATGTGGGTGCAGGGGCCCAAGGACATGAGCCATCTTCTGCTGCTTTCCCAGACCATAGCAGAGGCTGGATCAGAAGTGGAGCAGCTGGGTCTCGAACTGGTGCCCATATGGGAAGCTGGCTTTACCTACTATGTCACAGTGTCGGCCCCAGTTCTTGATTATTTGAAGATAAAACAGGGTATTAGACTGCAAGAAGCATTACAGGTTTTACTAATAGGGCTGTTTTTAAATAAGTAGGAAAATATGTCAAGCATTCTTTTAATAATTTAATACTAGTACTCACTAGAATAAACTGGTAATTTCTAAGTTAATGGAGAAAGAGGAACAAAGAAAATTTGATTAATACAGCAAAAAGCAGGGGAAAAAGAAAATAAGGAAGCATGATATAAAAAAGTTTAACCACTCTTGAGTGAAAGAAATAATACTGCTGTTAGAGACTGTAGAAAACAAAGAAATGATAGTATATCTAAACATACAGGATTTGGCTAAAGTCTTTAAAAACGAGGGGAAAAGTGTAAAAACCCAAGATTTTATTCAGGCTAGGAAGGTTACAATAAAATGAGCCTGAGCTTTAGAAGGAAGGGGTGAAGAAAAACCAAAGGCATAAATAAATGTGTTAGTGTCTCCTCTTTACCCTCTGCAGTTAGGTTAATTTGACCTCAGTTATAGATCTCAAATTCTAATGTATTATAAACATATATAATCTAGAAATAGAATATAAAACATCATTTCAAAGTTAATTCTAATTTTATAAAGATGGCCAGTGTAAGGGAATGTAACAATGTGATTCATTATAATTGATTAAAGGAGAAAAACATGTTCACATTGACACCAATTAAAATAGTGATAGAAATTTTTAAATACTTAACTAGTCAGTTTAACAAGAAGTACGTAGAATTTATTACAAACAACTCCACTGAGTGACAAGGAAGATTTAAAATACATGGAGAGACAAGCCCAGCTCCTGATGAAAGTGTTGGTATTGTGAAGATAACAGTTGTCTCTAGATTGACACATATGTATAATGAACTTATAAAAATGTCAGTCTAAAGAAAGTTTAAATTTATGCTTATTTTAAAAGAATAAGCAGTTCTTGGGGCCTGTGCTGTGGCGTAGTAGGCTAAGCCTCCACCTGCAGCACTGGCATCCTATATGGGTGCTGGTTTGTGTCTTAGTGCTCCTCTTATGATCCAGCTCTCTGCTTATGGCCTGGGAAAGCAGTGGAAGATGGCCCAAGTGGTTGGGCACCTTGCAGCAGTGTAGGAGACCTGGAAGAAGCCACTGGCTGCTGGCTTTGGATTGCCCCAGCTCCAGCCATTGCATCCATTTGGAGAGTGAACCAGTGAATGGCAGACCTTTCTCTCTGTCTTCTCTCTGTAATTCTGCCTCTCAAATAAATAAATAGAATCTTAAAAAAAAAAAAAAGTAAGCAGTTCAGAAAAATGAAGACAGTATTTGAGGACAATAAGATATGACTTCATCCAAAGGGACAAATACGATGTTCTCCCTGATCTGTGAGAACTAACAGAGCATCTAAAACAAAATCTGTAGAAGAGAAATTGACACTTTGAGAAGGGCTGACTTGAGCTGCCCTTATCTTGATTGTTGAGGAACAGTTTCGGTATTTTTTTTTCTTCTTCTTACTATTTGTTGAACTCTTTACTTAACATAGAGTTAATCATGTGTGTGTAAAGTCAATTGAGGATGATCTCAGTAAAAAATAAGAGTGGGAATAAGAGAGGGAGGAATAAGTTTGTAACTGTAAAGCTGTATAGTTCTGCATACGTTCCTACAGACTTACCTCTAAGGGTGCAGTTTAAAAACTTGTCTTGAGACTCCAAATCCAATAACTATATTCCTAAAGTTGTACTTACGAAATTTGTATTCCTCAAAAAAAATTTTTTTTTAAAGATTTATTTATTTATTTGAAAGTCAGAGTTACACACAGAGGAAAGACAGAGAAAGAGAGATCTTCTGTCTGATGGTTTACTCCACAGTTGACCACAACGGCCAAATTTGTGCTGATTCGAAGCCAGGAGCCGGGAGCTTCCTCTAGGTGTTCCCGTACGGGTGCAGGGGCCCAAGGACTTGGGCCATCTTCCACTGCCTTCCCAGGCCATAGCAGAGAGCTGGATTGGAAGTGGAGGAGCCAGATCTCAAACCCACGTCTATATGGGATTCTGGCACTGCAGGCAGTGGCTTTACATGCTATGCCACAGTGCTGCCCTAAAATTTGGGCCATACTC